CCCCCCCCCGCCCACTCACCCAGCCGCGAGTGTCGCGGCCACATTCCACAGGCCCGTGGTACCCTGGCGCCTGGGCCCCGGGGCGCAGGGGGCAGCCCGAGAAGACCGGCAGGGGGGCGGGGGGCACAGCGGGGGACATGCCGTTTGGCCACGGCAGGAAATTCACACAGGACGTTGGAGACGGGGCGGGGTCTGTTGGCGCGCGCCGGCCCACACGCGGCGGCATCGGCGTCGTGCCGGCAGAAGGGGCCGCGCGACCGAGGCGAAGCATTCCCCCCCCCCCCCCCCCACCTGCACGCCGGCCGAAGGGGCCTCTGGCCGACGCCCGGTGGTAGGATCTGGCACCGGCCCCGTGTGCAGCACAGCTGGCCGCAGTCAACACCCAGGGTACGGGCCAGGCATGCGTGGAAGCGCGCGCCCATGTTCGACCGGCCGCTGGCAACAGAGCCTACCGACGATATTTGGCCCAAGGGGGCTCGCCCCCCCCCCCCCCCCCCCGCTCCCTTCCCCATAACCGAGATAGGCCCCGGCCACGCCGACTCCCAGATGTCGGGCCCATCGAGGCCAGGGCGAGTTCCAGCTCGTGAGCCTGCCTCCTGCCAGACAGAGGGGCGCACTACGCACATGCATCTCCCCCACGGTCGCCGGATCAGGTCTGGCCGCGCATCAACCCCCCCCCCCCCCCTGCCGGCGAGCAAGGGAGGCAGGCCCGCCCTCACCGAAGACATACCCAGCCGGCGCACCCGCGCGCCCACATCCCTCTTCCCTAGGCTCATCGCTCGCACATGCACAGCATCGGGAAGCGCTGGCTCGTTCGTCCCCCGCCCCCGTAGCTTGCCCAGCTCGAATGCCAGGATGAAAGCTTGGCCCGAGCGCCCCCATGTACGGGGGAAACGCACAGGGCACGACGAAATACACAATATTGGGGGGATTAATATAATCCCAGGATTTCCGTGCCCATTGCGGGCCGACGTTTTGCCCCCCCCCCCAGTTACGGGCCGGGCCGGTTGTCCAGCTCG